AACAGGGTCAAGAAGAGATGAACAGGGGTTAGAGAGATGGCTTAGCATTTGGGAACACTGGCTGCTCATCCAGAGGTCCTGAGTTCAAGTCCTTGCAACCACATGGTGGCTCAGAACCATTTATAATGGAATCTGATTCCCTCTTCTGGTGCGCATGAAAACAGAGCGTTCATATACATAAAAGAAATAAACAAATCTTTTGAAAAAGAAGAAGAAGAGATGAACACCTGGCAGGGGCTTCTGGAGGGGAAGGCAGAGCATGTCTTGCAGGATCAGTGAAGGTTCCCTGAGCCTTAGCTCTGGCTACAGTGCAGGGGAATGAAATCTGAGTCCTCTTCATGGGACTGGCAAAACAAGAGAGGAAAGTTCATAGGCTCAGGGACACATCCCCTCCACCTCAGCAAGGTGACCCCCCCTTGAAGAGACACCCTGAAGAAAACATTTAGCTTTCTGACAGTCCATTATACTCACTTCACAGATATGTGTTTCTTAGGACTGAACACCACCTATCTGAGGTCACAGCTGGCAAGGTCTGCATACAGTTGGGTGTTCGTATAGATGGGCCCCTCATGCTACACTAATGAACTCTCTGACAGTTTGCCCAAGCAAAGGCTACAGCACTCCTACCACTGGCCCCACTCAGGACACCAAGGAGGGCTCTGCTCACTGCCACACAGTGAATGCAAGTTCTTTCTTGTACTTGTCCCCATTCTCTTTGCAAGGCAAAGGGGGACATAAAGATTCACACAGTGGCTCTTAACGAGTTGTGTGTGTGCACATGGGCAAGCATGGTTGTGTGAGACGTGTGTATGTATGCAAGCACACACGTGTATGTATGCGTGTGGGAGCCAAAAGTCAACCTGGGTGTCACTCCTCAGGAGCCATCCATCTTAGTTTTGAGACAGGATCTTTCACCGAACCTAGAACTCCCTGGATGGCTAGGCTGGCTCCCTAGGCTGACGCACATCAGCCGTGTGCCCATTTCTGCCTCCCAGTGCTGATAATTGTAAATATCCTCCCATAACCTGTATTTTGTGTGATTACCAGGAACTGAACTCAGGTCTTCTTGCTTGCATAGTAGGTAATTTACTAACGGAGCTATCTTCTCAGCTTTCTAAAGAGTTCATAGATAGAGATATATAGGTTTATTTATTTATTATTTATATGGCATTCAGCCTACATGTGTGCCTGTGCACCAGATCTCACTATATATGGTGGTGAGCCACCAAGTGGTTGCTGAGAATTGAACTCCAGACCTTTGAAAGAACAGCCATGTTTATAACCTCTGAGCCATCTCTCCAGCCCTCTCTAAAGAGTTCTAAACAGAATGTAATCCCAACACTTGGGAGGCTAAGGCAAGAGAATGATGAGTTTAAGGATAGCCTTGACTACACAGCAAGGGTGTGTTCCAAAAACAAGCAACAAACATTCTGTACAAACTGAATAGCAACACATACCTGTATTCTCAGCTACCCTGGTGGCTGAGGCAGGAGGATTGTGGGCAACATAACAAAACTCTTTCTCAAGCAATCGGACAAAGAGTCTGTACAGAACCGATATGAGTCATTTTGATCTTAGTTTAAACAGCAAAGCAAGGCACATGGCCACCTCTAACTTAAAGAGAAGAGGAAATGTATACCCATACCATGATCTCAGAAGATTGGCAAATACCTGTGAACAATTGTAAAGGACTATGGGACTGCTGAATGATCCCAGGAGGTAGGATCTTGGGAGCTCCCTTTGATACCTATTAGAGGGAACAGCAAGTGTCTGGGCATTAACATAAGCCGTGAACACTCTGGAGATGTCAGTCTGAGGTCAACAGAGTGGCAGCATAGAAGGCTCAGGGACAGACACCTCAGACTAGGCACAAGGGCTTGTCCAGACATGGAAAGTGCCCACTAAGATCTTCAGTCGGGATAATCTACTTCCTGAATTTTCAAGGCCTTTGGGGTGAGTCTTCCTAAGCTCATAAACAAAGAACATCAGAGTTGGGTGGGTCCCCTGGAGCCTGGCTGCTCCGGTGTGGTCTCTGGATCCGCAACATCAGCACCGCCTTCCCCTGGGAGCTTGTGAGAGACATCCGGTCTCAGGCCCCACCCAAAACTACTGAACTAGAATCTGTGTTTTACAAGATTCCCCAGGAGATGTGTATGCACATCAGAGCCTGGGAAGCACTTCCCCAGCACTAATTTAGGCCAACATTTTCATTTCACAAGTGAGGTGCTGACACCCAGAGGGGAGGAGGCTGGCCCAAAGTTACACAGCTGGTTCCAATCCTCACTCCGCCACTTGCCAGAGACTTTGAGTAAGTCGTTTAAAAATGCACCGACTCTCTCTTTCCTCTTCTATAACAAAGGGAACGACACTCCAATTGCTTGTCAGATAAGACAGCACCCAAATCAGGCTTCATGAGCATTGACTGTTACCCGAGTCCTAGCTCACTGCTCTAAGTCTCCCCCCCCCCCCCCCATTCCCCTTTCCAACACATGACAGCTTCTCCATAGACAGTTAAGTCCTAGACCAGCGGGGTTTGTGCGGAGCCTGCTCTGCCATTTGACCTTGAACTAATTCCCAAATTGTTCCTTGGTTGCTGGCTTTACTGTGATTGTTCATGAATAGTTTGACCCGCATCTCATACAGTCACTGAAGGTCTCTGATCTTTGCCTAGTCTGTGGTACAGAATAATCCAGAAATGACAGATTTATGTTTCCAGACTTCCGAAGAGAAGGAGGCAGGGTTAGGGGACTCTATGCCTAGTGAGTCTGCAGGTCTTTCCTAGAATGGTTCTGCCTTGACACATTCAAATATCTCAAGCGCCTAGCTGTGCTCTGCCTCCCAAGGACACTGACCCTTTCTTGTTTTGAGGTTTGAATCCAAGGCCTCACACTTGCTAGGTAAGTGCTCTACCATTGAGCTATACTCACAGGCCCTGAAAACTCCTTTCTTCATCAGCTAATAAAATGGATCCTCAAGGCTTCCAGAGCCTCTCTGGGGATGGGGTAAGCCGATTAGGCTGGTAATGCTGGTATAGTCTCCGAGTGCTCCAGCCTGGCTGACTGTGAGTGTTAGCATCATCTGGGGCACTTTTCAAATACAGATTCTCAGGCCCCACCCCAACCTGATCAGAATCTATAGGGTGGATCTGGGATCCATTGTAAATGCACCCCTCCACACCCCCACGATGGTTCTCATAGCAGGAGCGAGTATTTAGACACAGGACCAGGGACGGAAGAGAGTCCAAACTGTCCAATGACTGACTCCCAAGGGTCTTTGCTCTGTTTCTCAAACTACCTCCACCCTTACCAGGGTCTAAGAATTCTGGAGACTGTCCTTTCACTGGGTTTTTGTTCTTCAAAAAGCATTACTCTTGTTTTGGGGATTACTTGAACACCTAATATTAGATCAAACACACACACCCCTATTATTGTTATTATTATTATTTTGTATCAAGATTGGCCTTGAACTCACTTTCTTCCTGCTTCAACCTCCAGACATTCTCCCTCATCTCTGCAGCCCGGCTCTCTCTCAGATGACCCAGACTGAGGGCAAGGCACTGGGCCTGCCTTCCATCAGAACAGGCAACTTTCTCCCATCACACCCTAAAGGCCCAGGGCATTGCTGCAACTGGTCGTCCTTCTTGTCATTCTTTCCCCTAAGGGCATCCTGGACCACACCCACGTCTCCCTTGAATGGCTAATTCTCATCGTGGGTCATTCTCATGGCTTTGTTTGCTGCAGGTCACGGTTAGAGCACAACTTCTTCCGGGAAATGCTATCCTTGGAGATTAGATGCCTGAACAGAAGCAAAAGGTCGTCAACACCCACAGCGGAATGGGAATAGCTAACAAAAATAAAATAAAATAAAAAGAAAGAAATAAAAAGTAAAAAGGAAGTGGCTGCCTTTTGCCTTGACCCCAGAGCGCCACCTGGTGTCTACCGGTTCAGAGCAAGCTTGGTGCCTGCGGAGCCCTGCATTTCCTCACGTTCCACGCTTTAGTCTTCCGCTGGTACCGGGCTTTACAATGCGCTTGCGGCCCCTTGTTCACTACGAGGCTGTGGGAAGGTCAATGGGGAACAGGGAGCTGGAGTACCAGGGCCTGCCTGATGGTACTATCCTGGGCTGAGACCCGCCCGCGCAGCCAGCAGAGGGCAGCCTGTCTCTACCTTTGGACGCCCATCTTGGCCCCGCCCAAGGCAGGAGGGTCCATTTGGGTTTATGGAATAAACCATTGTCCTCTGGGCACAAACCTCCCTGAGAACCTGTAGGTCTTGAGCCCCATTTGGGAGCTGTCAGTGACACCTAGGACTGGCATTCTTTGATCTCCTGCTGTTGGGCAGGTGTGGCCTTGCATTTTTCTATGCTCTGCACCATTGGTGTGGGTCCCATGAGGAGCATTGCTGGCCTATCTGCCTGATACAAGCATAAAACTATTGTTTCAGTTCTACTTCTGTTTTGAAAAATTCAGCGTGGGCATGTTTCCAAAGACTGGCACAGCCCTGCTCTGGGGTATGCTGGGTGTATATAAGATGAGCAATACAGCCCTTTGGAGAAGCCTTCTTCCCAAGTCTGGTCTTCCGTGCACCTAGCTGTGGAGCCCTAACAGAAAAGCAGACTGCTAGCTGCCCCTCACCCACTCTTCCCAGAAGTGAGATTTCTGGAGCTGACACAGAAGTTCCTCTGGCTGTGTTTCTCTTTACAAGGGACTTTCTGAGCTGAAGTGCTGAGCACATTGTAGCAGCCTAACTGAGCCCTCTCAAAAGCGAGTCCACAAGATTCCCACATCCCGAGGTGGGGTGGAGTGCAAAGAGGGCAAGGCAGTGGCATTTGGTCATTTGGTTCCTTTTAAATCGATACTACAAAGTAAGGGACCTTAAAAAATCCAGTGATTCTTCTTTGATTGGTTTCCACCAGACCTTGCTGTGACTGTTCTGGTCCAATCCAGTCCTGGGCTCCAGGGTGTGGCAGGGTCCCACAGATGGAAGATGAGGAAACCAGAGTTCAGTTCTAAACTGCTTTATTGACCAGATGAGAAATCAGCTTCAACAGCCCATGCCCACAGCCTTTGCATTGAACAGCTGTCGACACCTTGTCCTCTCAGTCCCTGTGAGCATCAGGGCCTAGCCCTTCCTCTTCCTCCCTCTGCTCCTGTGACACTGGGGCCTGGAAAGGATGGGCAAAGCAGCTAATGAAAGTCCCTAGAGAAGTGGGGAATGGTGAAACAGCAGGGTCTGGGTCTGGGGTAGAGGGGAGTGGGGACTAGAAGCAAAAGGAAAGGGTATTGCATGAAAACTGGCTGCCTCTGCCTCCTTCCATGTTAGAGAAACTACCAGGGGTGGCTAGAACACAGTGCTACCCTGGGCTGTGCTGAGACAGAGAGAAGCTGTCCGTCCCAGCCACCAGACCCAAGGTCAGAACCAGAACTGACCACTCCAAGGTCTGGACCACGGATAAATGTAAATGCTTGTTCCATTAGGATCTCCTCTTGCCCAACAAACAGGGAACTTGATGCCTAAGGAGGTCAGGCAACCTCTAGACTTTAGGGTCCTCTAACCAGGGTTGTTCTCTGTTCCCAAGTGGGAAGATACTAGTTGCACACTCAAAGGCAAGAGGCCAGAGAAAGAGCTCCTTCCTATGGCCCACTACCCTGTCTGTACCTCTCTGCCTCCCATGGGGAACCCCCCAACCCCAGACTGAGATGCTTCTGAAGGGCACCCAGAGGAAACTCTCTCCAATAAACCACAGCCTCCTGGCCCAATCCTGGTCCTGCCTCCCTCCTTTAGATCTGCTCCTTTGCTCCTCTGGGCTCCTAAGACACAGGCTCAAGTGTCCTGGTCAGTAGAGGGTACAGTCGGCCTAGAAACAGAGGTCTGTGGGGCGAAGTGTGGGGAGAGGGACCTGGTCTCTGGAAAGGGGCGACTAGACAGATGTTGCCTAAAGGTGGTGCTATCAAATGCCAGGCCTCTGTCGGGTAGCACAGGCAGATCCCTAAACCAAAAGAAGCCAGACACCCAAGTCCGAGTCATTAGTGATGTGCAGCAGGGCTGAGTGAGAGGATCTTGGAGGTGTTCAAGGCTTCTGGGGATGAACTGAGGAGGAGGAGCACAGGAGCAGGCAGGGTGCGCAGGCAGCGGCAGCCTCACTCTGAGTGGACCAAGGCACCAGCTCCTTGTCCAAAGCCAAAACCTTTGGGACCAAAGTTTTTAGCATAGCATCCTGCAGGGAGAAGAGAAGCATTAAGGATGTATTCCTGTCCTCATAGCAGCTCCTCCTGCCACTTCTTGTGACTGGTCTCTGGAGAAGGACAGTCCACACCAATGCCCACCTTCCCATCTCCATTGCCCTCCTAGCCTCAATAGTGAGGAGGACCCATCTCCCCTTTATTGCAACAAGGGAATGAATCATTTGCAAAAAAGCAAGACAAAACAACAACAACAACAAAAACAAAAGAAAAGAAAAAAACAAACAAAACAAAAAGCCAAAACATTGGACAGGCTCCACCCTTTTCCATCTCACTCTGGCCAAGTCCCATTCTCCCTCTGGTCTGGCTTCCCCATCTGTGTCACAAAGAGAACAGTCTGGCTCTTGGATTGGAAGGCAAAGAACTGGTTCATTGAGTGACAGCATGGCCCCTTGGTCTCCTGCCTCCTTCAGCCTTCTGATCTTCAGAGAGAAGTCGAGCTACCCACCTTTGCAATAGATCTCACCATCCTTGTCGGCCAGGGTCGTCGACTCCAGGCCCTTGCCACATTTGGCACATCGGAAGCAGGACTTATGCCAGGACTAGGTAAGAAAGGAAATGGGTAGCATCACTGCCAGTGACTGCGGTACTCCTCCCCAGCTCACCATTAGCTTGCCATAGTGGACAGGCATTTTGCAAGTCAGGTAGGGGTACGGGAGATGCTAAGAGAATGTGGCCCAGACGCACGCAGAGAGAGCAGGCCAGGGACCAAGGGTACACCAGCGGTGTGTCATCATGAAGTGTGACCCATGGCTCCCTGCTTAGTTCCAGTTGCACTAAGGGGGTTCCATCCAACCTGGGGAGCTGCAACCCCCACAGGCTACCAGGCAAGCCTTATCCACAGCATTTTGCCTGTGAAACTGGTAAGTGGTATGGCTCTGGATTTGTCTTGGCACTGCCACATGCTACTGGAATAGCCCCCAATGTCCTTCCCAGGAGACCTCCAGGTTTATCTTGCAGAGTGAGGATGTCAGGAATGATAGGAAAATGACTGGTGCATAGCCATGGAACAGGCATTTATCATTGTGATTTTTCTGGACCAGCCCAGCCTCTGAGGGTCTAGAACTTAGTGCCTCATTTCAGCTCTCAAGAGAGTGGTGTGACCTTATTGCCTTTGCTAGGCAGCTGCCAGAATTAAATGACTTTACCAGGGTCAAGGGCTTGCACAGGGCCAGGCACGAGGAAGCCCTGAGTCAAATTTGCATGGTTTTTGAAAGGAGAACAGGTCTGTCCACAGCGTACTGGACTCAGTAGGAAGCCACAGAAGACCCTTGTGATCTCAAGAGGTGCCCTAAGGCCGCAAAGGGCAAAGAGCTTCCCAAGAGAGGCAGGACTCGTTTGTGTATGATACAAACTCTCTCTCTCTCTCTCTCTCTCTCTCTCTCTCACACACACACACACACACACCCACAGCTATACAACATCCACAATACAACTCAACAACCAGCTCCCATGAGCAGCAACTAAACAAGCTGAGGCAGAGGCAGGAGGATGTCTCAGTTCAAGGACAACCTGGTCTACAAAGTGAGTTCCAAGGACAGGCAGAGCTACACAGAAAAGCCCTGTCTCAAAACAAACAAACAAATAAACAAGACTACATCTATCAAGCCAGGAGGTGCTGGCACACGCCTTTAATAATCCTATCACTTTGGAGGCAGAGGCAGGTGGATCTGTATGAGTTCCAGGCCAGACTGGTCTACAGAGCAAGTTCTAGAACAAACAGGGCTACACAGAGAAACCCTAACACCAGAAAGAGGCAGACAGACAGACAGACAGACAGACACACACACACACACACACACACACACACACACACACAGAGAGAGAGAAAGAGAGAGATCTTAGCCATAATGTCTTAGAGGGTGGGCTCTTCAATACGCATCTTTTTCTTTAGTCCTCAACTCCAGAGTGGTAGACCTTAGCGAACTATGTACGCATCTGCATCTTAGCAACACCCTACAAAGTGACTAAAGACAATCTGCCTCACTGGGAATGCTACAGCTGGTGCTTTAGGTGGGACCCTGGGGTCTGGGACAGGTCACCGACCTCTGGAAGGAAGCCAAGTCCAGGGCTCAGGCTGCTGCTCTGAGCAGAGCTAGAGCCATCAGTTGCAAAGCTCCGTGATTCACGGTTCAGAAGCTCCCCTCCCTCTCCCCTCCCTCATGCCCAGCAGTGCCCTTACCTTCCCGGCACCAATCACCTTCTCTGCAGCATAGACTGCCTGGCTACATCGGGGACAGCGCTCGGAGCCGCCAATCTTCTGGGCAAACTTGGATGCATTGGGGTTGGTAGTGGACCTGTGTCCGGGCGCTCTACATGCAGAAGAACGTGTGGCGAGGTGACTAAAATGCCTCTGGCCAGGGACAGGGACACGGAAGCTAAAACCACCGTGACCTCTGGGACCCCAAGGCTCAACAAAATATCAGAACAGCACATTTTCCTCATCGCCTAGTCAAAGCCCCCAGAATCATTTAACCCGTCATTTGCTATAATCCTCCTTGCCCTGAGCCCCTCACTTCTGTAGTTCCTCCCTTTTTAGATTCTTTCCGAGAGAAATCTGCTGACAGATCATTCCCATTAGGGCAATGACCTTGGCTGAAATCTGGTAGCTCTTCATCATTTCATCCGCTTCCCCAGTGCTGAGACGCTGGCCAGACTGACAACCACCCTTTACCAGCAGCTCAGAGGCAAGAGATGACCAAGGGTGAGGCTGGGGCGACCCAATGACACCCTGAGGCATGTCCCAGAAAAGGAAACTACTTCCTCTCAGCAGGGGTGAAGGGTAGCGGGGCTGGCATGCCTCTGGGTTTTTCAGTTATAAAATGGAGAAATTGGACTGTAACGCTGAGGGCCTTGACACTTGTAAAAAACACATAGCATGAGTGTTCCAAGCAGCATTCCTAGTTGGTCCTCAGCTGCCCCAAAAGCCACACACAGACAGCTGCTCTGTGACTTCCTTTCTTTCATTTTTATTTTATTATTTGATTTTGGTATGTGTGTGTTCATGAGTGTGTGCATGTAAGGTGAGCAGGTACATGTGTGTTCATACACGTGGAGGCCAGAGATCAACATTAGTCCATCTTATTTTCTGAGAGAGGTCTCTCATCTCTCACCAAATCTGGAACCCACCCATTATGCTAGAGCAGCTGCCCAGCAATTCCCAGGTATCCTCCTGTCTCCACCTCCTGAACACCGGGACTGTAAGTGCACATTGCCATTGCCCAGGTTTTACATTCGTTAAACTCAGGTTTATGAGGCAAGGACTTTACCAGCTGAGCCTTTTTCGACACATTCTCTGTTTGTAGCCAGGCTGACCTTGAACTCCTTCAGCCTCCCTAGGACAACAGGTATTGGCCACCATGTACAGCTCTCCCTTCTAAATCAATGGCTTCCCAGACCTCTCACCATGTAACCGAAGGAGTTTCAGTGGTTTCTATTTCAGAAACAGAGGAGAATTCAAGAAAAGGTAGAGAGGATCTTGTACTCACTCCTCATGCTTGATGCCCAGAGACTCCCCTTTGTCCGTGCTCAGTGTGCCTGCGCCCTGCCCGTAGCCATAGCCTTTTGGCCCATACTTCTTGCCGTAACAGGACTTGCAATAGATCTCTTCTCCATGCACAGCCACAGTGGTGCTGTCCAGATTCTTCTTGCAGACCACTGGGGAGGGGACAGGGGAATGGTGAGATGCAGCTGCAGGCCTCCCAGGACTGACTCATGCAGAAAAGGAGACCAGCAGGGTGGCCAATGGGCTGGCTTCCAGAATATCTGACTCTAGGTGGTCAAGGCCTGGCCTTCAGGAATCTGGGGGTGTTTCCCTCAGACTGCTGTACCTTGGTACCTATCCAAGTCTCAGAATCCATGGCCTAGGCAGACTCTAAGCCACAGAATACCAGATGACATTTTTCATTCTGCCTTTAATAGAGAGACCATGTGTCCCAATAGGAGAGGAAGCAGAAGGGCAGAAAGAAGGGTAGGGTTTTCCTGCATCCAGCTGTGGCATGGAAAGAACACATTTGGGTATGTCATTATAGCAGGAACAGTTATGCAGGTGAAGTGATACACATCAAAAAGAAATGCAAGTGGATTGGATGCCCAATGTGATGGGTTTTGAAATGAGATACAAGCCATGGTAAGCAGAACTAAATCTGCAGTTTCTAGTCTCAGACGTCACTGAACCACAGGGAGAAGAGGAGCTGGAGAAAATGGAAGCATGTTCTGAGTCAGAGGGTAGGGGAGGCAGGGACAGAGTGAGCTAGAAAAACTTCAAGCTTCATACACTTTCCCGTCACTCTCTCAATGAGCTGTGCCAGGTGCCCAGCATACAATGCTGAGTCTGGAACCAGATCCCAGCTCTCCATCTGCGTGGCTAGGACAAAACTATTTTGCCTTTCCAGGTTCAGTGTCCTTGTTTATGAGTGTGGATAATCTTATCTGCCCTAAAAGGTAGTTAGAAAAACCACGTGCGCTCTTAGATGTGATATACTAGCTCAGTACCCTGTGCACTAAAGGTTCATAGGAAATGCTAGCTACTCTTACCAGCATTACATACGGGTGGTACCGCTGGGGAGAGAGCTCCCATCTTCCTATTCACTTCTCCCAGGAGACTCAACTTAACAGCCCCTAACTACTGAAGTTGGTCTGCCCAACAGAACTGTATCCTAAAACACCTCCTTTGAAGCTGAAAGTCTACAGATACTGTGGAAGAGGCCAACTTCCTTCCGAGTCGCCATTTTTGCCTTTAAAAGGTCCAGGGCTCCTCCAGTTCTCTTTGAGCCCCAGGTTGGGGACTTTAGACTAAATAAGGACCCTCTTGTCCTGCACTCGAGATCTCTACCTCATTCCAGCACTCACAGCCACCCAAATATGGAACCTCCCACCGCCTCCCCTGGGGCTTGGCTCTGGGAAGAACAAACGAGGCAGAGAACAACCGGCCAAGGCTCCAACATTCCCTTCTAGGGTGGGAAGTCAGGAACTGGCCTAACTGGAACTGTTTCCCCTTAGACCTACTTTGAACTGGAAATTCCAAAATCGGAGGGAAGGCAGAAAACAGAGATAAGGACAGCTAAGGAGGAAAAGGCCTTTTTGGGCTGCTATTTCCAGCCAAAGACAAAAATCTTGACTCTGGAGACACCAGGGCCTACAAGCTCACGCCCTGTAGACGGCTCCCCTGCGTGCTGGTCAAGACCTCCTGCTCCTTTTCATATTACCTCAGTTTTCTCAGAGGTACAGTTCTGCCCACTGTAATGTAACCCCAACATAGCTCCTCCTCCACCCAAGTGATAATGGTAGGAGACTCAGCTCACTTGTGGGGTCCCCCCAAAAAAAACTTTACCAAGGAAAATTTTGAATATATCCTTCATTCAAGGAAGACCTGAATACAAGTCTAAGTCAGGTTAAGCAAAACAGAAACAAGACAAAACAAAAACCCTAGGTTAGTAAGTGCATTTGCTTGGAAACTGTTTTCAGATGCTACCTGGCTCCTTGGGGTCCTGAGATGCTTTTGGGAAATATGGAAGAGAAGCACCCACTCACCATGCCCAAAGATGGAGAGTGGCTACCTCTGGAAGGAAAACCAAAACCTACAAAAAACCACTCAGGGTCACAGAGTCTTCCAGAAGCAAGGCCAGGCCAGATCCCAGCTCTGATTTCTAGTCTGGTTTTCGGCCAGGCTATGGCTCTTCCAAGAGGCAGAAAGTGAAAACTGACCTAAAGCCGTAGCCTGGGGTCGGAGCCTGTCTGCGGCTTCTCCCGGTTTCCCCAGTGCTCAGACTCTGGGGACCAGCTTAGGGCCCACCAGCAGGCTTCAGCTCCGTTAGCCATGGCTGCTCAACCCAGCACACCTCAAGAAGGAGCTGGTTACAACTCAGGGTTGGACATACCACCTCAGGGAAGGCTCATATCAGGCCAGAACTCAAGCTGCACCTATCACTCACTTGCTGTCTAGTGCGAAGAGGCATCTTTCTCTACTGTGTTGAAGGGGTCAGATTGGAGGCAAGGCCAGGCTTACTGTAGGCCTCTCTGCCTCAGACCAAACCCAGGAAGATGTGGTCTGTCTTATCTTTCCTATTGCATCATCCCAGCTTCCTCATACCTATTCTAAACCTCCAGAAAAGTATACACTGGGCGACCACGGATTGGAATCAATAGACCTTCTTTTAAGGACCTGTCCTAGGCTGACTAACAAAATGGCCCCAACTGCCACCCAGGCCTAGTACCTGCTGGCCCTTCCTTTCCTGGGAAGGAAAAGCTCTTTGATTCTACGGGTCACCATAGAGCAGACATATCAACCAGCTGACTTTGGAGGGGGAGTGATGCTCCTAACACTCCTGACCAAGTCTCTGATACCACCACGTACTGGTATTGTTTGGGATACGAGGAATAAGGCAGAGGGGATAACATCCCAGCATGCCTGGAACACAGGGCCCCTGGTCAACTCTGATGCCTGGAAACTGCAGTCCCAAGACACCACAGACACTCACAACCATGCCCTACAGCAGTGGCCTTCAACCTTCCTAATGTTGTAACCCTTTAATACAGTTCCTCATGTTGTGGCGACCCCCAGCCATGAAACTATGTTTGTTGCTACTTCGTAACTGTAATTTGCTGATCTGTGTTTTCTGATGGTCTTAGATGACCCCTGTGAAAGGGTTGTTTGACACTCCCCACTCCCTCTTGTCTCCCCACCTTCAGCCTCCCCCCCCCCCAAAGGTCTGTTGTTGCCCTAGAGTAACAGCTGCATAGTAGCCCCTCCCAGACTGATTTTCTCCAACTGCTTCTAATCCCTGACACCTCCCCACACCCTGCCCCAGCCCTGTGCCTTCCTTCCTGGGCCACCCCCTGAATTCCTGACCTCCATCCACGCCTGACCAGAAGCTAGTCCTCCGCATCAGGACTTCAGCAGAAGCTCTGGACACAGCTGGCTCCTTTTAGGCAGTTGATTAAGCAACATTTGAGAGCAGAGAGGGGCCTTTCAGATCCAGACGTCCAGACCCCCTTCCCAACTGGCACCAAGCTGTCTCTTATTCCCTCTGGGAGGGGGCTTAAAAAGTCTGAAAAGCCCCTACATGATGAGCTGCTGAGGACCAGATGCTGCTGTCTGCGGCCTCCTTGGCAGGCAGGAAGCCAGCAGAGCTCCACAAAAGCTTGTCATCTCCTCATTTATCACATGAGCCCTGGGACTGGCCCTCCAGGCCTCATTGCAACATGAGAAGTCTGCTGCCCTGTGCTGGGTGGCTTCAGGCTGCACTGCCCAGCAACAGGTAGAGATGTGGCTGTCAGGCGAGCAGACGTGCACCGTCTGGATTCCACTCCGGATCAGACCAAAGGAGCAAAGGGAGGCAGAGCTACCACCCAAGCTCAGGGAGTGGAACTGGACCTCACTACTGGCTCTCTGAGATGGGCTGGACATTAGCTCCCACAAGCTCTCCTCCTTGCTGTGGAACTCTTATCAATGAGCAAGTGTGAGTTTGTGTATTTACTGAACACTCACAGGACTTTAAAAACTCTTTTCATTTCAGCTCTCACAGTAACCCTGCTGGGTATTGAACTTGTGCATCATCCTACAAACAACAGAAAAGTGAATTATAATCCTAGCCCTGATCACACTGGCTCTGAAGAATAAGGCTTCACCAAGACATCCTACTTCCTGCCGTCGGGCCCACCTTCCAGGAAAGAGCTGCTATGGCTGCTTCTCTCTCTAACACAGACTTCTGTTCTGATCACAAAAAGCAGATCATTAAAGAACTGAGGAAAGGCTCCTCCAAGTCGCTGCACTGGGTACACACCACCTGACCCAGCTACCAGCTGAGGTAGTCAGAGAGGTGCCATTTGTGGGTTAAGCCAACCTCGCTCGGTTGTGCTGTGTCTTGTGCACGGTTCTCTATACCAGAGAGGTGCCAGAGCGGCTTGCACTGTATCATTAGGAACAGGAAGCAATGAACTTGGAGCTCATCCTTCCCTCTGTGAAGGGTGAGAGGGAATGGGAGTGAAAACAGGGGGACACACTGCTGAGAAGCCGAGCAAGTGAGAGATTTAGTCTTCCTCTCTGACCTTCCCCACAGGGTCATGGCCTCTTTTACCTGACAAGGGGTAACTGGAAGGCTAGTAAGACTTTGGGTTGAAAGCGTCTTTCTCAGAAATGATTGGATAGTGGCAGGAACAAAGAGAGAGTGGAAAGTTTTCCTAAGTGAGCCTTTCCAGCTTGGCTCCCAGCCCTGCCCCCTCCTGCCACCCCAACACACCCCACCACCACCACCACCAGCACTGGCCAGTTCACCCCTCAGAGAACAGCTTCTGAAGGGAACAAAGAGGCCCTTAAGTGTTTCCCTCCCCAGCTGTGTTTCAGCCAAATGTCAAGCTGTTTACATCCCTAGGGACCGGCTCCCTCGGGTGTCACAGGCCGAGCTTGTGGGGGCAGGCCTGTCCAGATCCCCAGGCAGCAACAGCAGGCCTGGGTGGTACTCACTGCATAGGAAGCAGGATTTATGGAAGCTGTTGCCCTCACACTGGACCTCCTCAGCAAAGTAGACCGTCTTCTGGCACACCCCACATTTCTTGCCTCCTCCCCAGTTTGGCATTCTAAAAAGAACACAAAAAAATGAGAATGAGGTTCATACAACAGTGAGATGAAAACAGACTGCCCATGGCAGGGAGGCCTCCTAGGGGATGGCCAGGCCTGGGAGATTACTTCTGGTTTATTCTTAAGACCATTCTCCAGCTGCTACTGGCAAGTATATTGGGGGGGGGGGGGAGTCTCCTACTTCATCCTATTTGCTAGGGAGCTGATGTGTACTGGCCCTATGCTCCACACCTTACTTGACAAGATCGTGAGATACGAGGTTTACAAAGGGCATGCAGGAGCTCGGGGTCACCACAGTGCATCACAGAGAATGGCTCCAAAGGAGCACATCAGCCGGAGTTTGGAAATTTTAAAGCAGTGCGAAGTTCACTAGTAGGCAAAACTCATATTGCCAAGGGATGAGCATATGGGTGGAAGAAAAGTGTCTCAGAAAACTGAGGGAAGGAACATCACAATCCATTGTCTCAGAGTCATCAGTTCTAACAGTGGAAGGAACGGCGGTAAGGTAGGATTGCCTGGGAGAATGCTACAGCGCTTGGCAGAGCTTGACCCACGAGAGCCTCCTTATTATAGTTATTCTTTGAGTCATACACGTGGGCACTATATATTGCCTGGTCTATAAGACAGGTGATAGGAAAAGGGTTAAGTCAGGTGTGGCATACATGCCTGTGATACCAACACTTAAAGGGCTGAGACAAACTGAGGCCAGCCTGAGCTTCATAATGAACGAACCTGTCTCAAAAACAAAACCAAGCCACATACAGAGAGAAGAGCCTATACCTCAGCACTCTGAAGATGGAGGCAGGGAGCTTATAAATGCAAGGTCATCTTCACATACAGGGTGGGTTTGAAGCTAGTCTGGGCTATATGAGACCGTGTCTCAAGAAAAGACAAAAACAAAAAGATTTAAAACAACACAAGAGCTGGGCACCCAGGACATTGTTCTCAAGCACCAGATCTAGCCAGATCTGGCGGCACCACCTGCCTCTTTCTGCCTGCAAGTGCTGAAATTAAAGAAAGGTATTGGCCCAGCCTAGGACTTGAACTTTAACAAGAACCCACAGGGTGATTTCAAGCAGGTAGGCCAGGCCAACTTGGAGATATTTTATGTGTTGGCTCAGGGCTGTGGTCCTGATGCCAGACTGTTCAGTCCAGTTTTGATCCTGCCACTCATTTGCTGTGTGACACTGGACCAGGAAGTTGGACTTTCCACACCTTGACTTCTGCATCTTGAAAATGGGGCTGAAAACAAGAGTTCTTCAGAGATTATTTCTGGGGACTAGAAGAAGTACAGCATGTGAAGGGTCTGGTACACAGTAAGTGCTCAATAATTAGTACAACACAAGCCAGAGACTGTAGGACGGACAGACAGCCACGTGCCAGTGGCACAGGAGGTTGGGCGACATCAGATGTCCTTAAATGGATGACCTGCTTCTTTCCTGTCCCCTCAACAAACAAACCACTGAAGGAGCAGATGACCCTTCTAGGGCCTTCAACAGAAGCCTTTTGAAGGAAGATGTGTTCTTCAAGGCACGACGGATGGAGGACATAAGATGGTATGAAGGAGGCCGAGGACTTAGTGAGTAGACACAGGATGCCAGGGAAGGAAATGCATGGGAGCCGCAAGAGTGTGTTGTTCAAGAGCTAAAGGAGCCTAAGGAGGAAGTGTCCCCAGATCTGTATCATGGGGTCCCCATGCCATGCATAGCACTAACACGCAGGTATGTGCATGGGTGTCCAAGGTGCAGTTGAGGAGTGGGTGACTTTACTGTACTCACACGTGTCTCTGCAGCTCCCGGGACCTCGAAGTAAATGTGTGCAGGCTGAGAAGCCAACCTAAGCAAGCTGCTGTTGGTGACGCCAGCTCCTTGGCTACTGAGACCAAATGCCACCATGTTGAAAGGAGCAAAATTTTGTTGGAAGATGAGATTCATGCTCACCCCCTCATCCTGAAAGTTAGGGTTCCATCTAGTCCCAGTCTCCTGCATTCTTACTATCTATTGTCACCTCCTTGCAGAGACTCCCATATGTTTGCAGCCCCACTTTTCCTCTTAGTCTAGCCCCAGCTAATTTCAGGTGAGCATCTCTAGGACCACCCACAGTGCCTCCATTTGCAGAAGACCCATCTGATCCCACACGCTTCTGTGAGCACTGTTTTTCCAGATTTCTCCATGTTGCTTGTGGTGATGTCACCACCGTCTATGTAAAAGAACAAAGATGGGGGCTCTTCGCTCTTCCCTGGCTGTGTCTCACTGTGCTCCCCTCTGCTTGGTCACTCACCCCAATGCTGTACACCATGTCCTTTAGGTCTACTGGCCCTACGGCGCCTCCCCCTGCTCCTCCCCCACCCCTACTTGCCTGGTTGCCTTGTAGTCATGGCTACTCCTGGAAGAATACTTCTGCTTTATACATTAGTCCCATTTTCAGCTATGACATGTGACCTGGGCCTAACCTAGTCAGCCAAAGTTATTGTTTGGTTATGAGTGACACCAGCAGGAAAGGAATTCCTGAGGGTTCCAGAAGAAAAAAAATAGTATCCTGTCTTCTGAGAGAGTGCCACCCCCACCTTAAGCAAAGAGACAGGAGCAAGGGGCAGTCAGCCCAAAATAGACCTGAAAGAGTTCTGGTAAGTAAACTGAGTCTTGGTTGATGTCATTAAAAAACCAGCTTGAGCCAAATCTATAGCTCACTGTGCTTCTGAATGCCACTTACACAAACAGCAACCTTTTGATTGTTTGAGCCGCTTACTTGACAGCGTAGAGTGACAGCTGTGGCACGTCCTAGTCCAACCCCATACAGCAGCTCCCAGCTTCCACACAGAGTCCCCCCCGACCCTCAGACACCAACGCTTCCACACAGAGCCCCCTACCCTCAGACACCAACGCTTCCACACGGAGCCCCCCCCCACCCTCAGACACCACCGCTCCCCCACGGAGCCCCCCCCCCACCCTCAGACACCAACGATGCCCTGTTTCCACATATCAGAACTCTGCGCTTGGCCCTGCAGATCTCAGCTTGCTTGACCCCAGCCAGTTCATCTCACCCCACAGACTGGAAGCTGTCAGTTTAGCTCTTGCTCAAGCCTAACTTGGAGGAAGCCTCAGACCGTGCCTTGTGAAGAGCTGGGAAGGCAGGGTTGAGGCTGAGGTGTGAGGCTATCCTCCCACAGAAGAACTGGAGAGACTGTCACCTGCTGCTCACACACCCGCTTTCCTCCATGGGCTTGTACGTCCTGTAGTCAGCCTTCTCTACCTGCCCATGACCTCTCTGCCTCCTTGGGTAACTTAAGGCCAGTTCCTACGCCAGCCTCTCTCGACCCCTTCAACCCCTTTCCGTCCTGAGGACTCCAGGGCTCAGCTGTACTTACTGAACAAAGACTCAGGGCTGCAAACCCATGTAGGGAGAGGGAAAAGTCAGCAAGAAAAGCACACGTCACTGTCTAGCTGTCAGCCACCCTCGTCCTTCTTTGCTCTGGGAACCCAGGTTCTGTATCAGAGGATAGTTCAGGCAGCTATCCTCTGAGGATGGGGAGCAAATGCCCAGTTTGCAGATAAGGAAAACCAGGTCCAGAGAGGTTGGGCAAACCTGCTCATGGCTCCACAGCTGTAGGAGGCAGAACTGAGTCTAACAACGGTCCACACATTTCTGTCCTCTGTGACCCCAGTCATCAGGCTATGAACAGAGCATGTTTAAGGGTTGCTGCACGGGGTGGGCAGGCAGTTCATCAAGATAGGTTCCCCTCTTTGACTTTCCCCTTCCTGTGCAAACCTCTAAAGCAATAGGGGGCATGCTCATGTCCCTAGGGACACCCCTAAGGGAGAGACAGTCCCTTAGCCACGTGGTGGGAAGCCGTTCCAAGCAGTGTTTTGTTCGGACACAAAGCCCTTCTCCCAGTGGGGAAGACCCACAGCTCTGTACAGGCCTCCCCTTGTTCTCCCTGGCCCTGTGTCAGGGGCCCATATCCAGCAGGGCTCCAGGGAATCAGGAACATGGGCGGGGAGATGGGTGAAACCCAAGGACCTGTCAGTGCAGGAAGCCTGCTCAGGATGTCCCTTGGCTGGACCATTCCATGAGCTGGGAGTCTGGTTGGAACCCCAGAGGTTCCAAGAGGGAAAGCAGAAACAATGGCACAGTCAGGAAACATGCTCTGCCCTCTCTGCCCAAATGATGGCCCCTCAGGGGACCCTGAGTATGGAGAAGAGTCCTAGGCAGAGAGATCTGTGACCACCTCCTTCCAGTGTGAGGTGATGCTGGCTCCTCACTCCACCTCCTTCTTTCTGCCCTGTGGGGGGTGGGGAAGGGGTTTTTTGCCAACAGCCAAATTCCGCCTGCGAGGAAGCTGGATTGCCTTAAAAGGAAGGCTGTTCTTAGTCTGCCTTCCTTTGAGGGCTTATAGGGATGGTGGTTCATTCTCAATTGCCTTCCTAGTTCTGAGGGACAGAAGACCCGCAGAAGGCTGTGTGCCCAGTGCTTAGGAAACTGGTGCTGGGTTTAAATAGCACAACGTACCTCTTTCTAGCCACGTCTCAGCTCCATTTGTTTATCCCTACAATGGAACAATCCCTATATTCTGATGATTAAATGAGAATGTGAAATGGAATGGTACTATAGAAGGCGTGCCTCTGGTTGCCACCCAGAGCCTAGCCCAGTCAGAAGTGGGGCCAGACAGCTGACCACCTTCCTTCCAGACTGAGCCAAATCCGGAAGAAAACAAGACTTTAGAAGCAACATGCCAGGTAGGGCCCAGGGACTCCTGACCTATCTGCCAGGCCAGCTAATTAGTCTGTGAAAAGGTAATTGCTCCAGGTTTAGTTCCCAGTTTCCCCAGGCCACCTGCGACTTCCAGCAGGGACCTGTATCTTGTGTGAGACTTTCTGGTATGTGGTCCTAGGTGAACAAATCATTGCTGTTGAGCAAAGGAGCACATGGGTATAACCTCAGTCATTGGGAAGTAGAGGCAGGAGGCTTGCCGTTGAGATCAAGGCCAACCTGGCCTAGCTACCAAGTCCTAGGGGCTCTTAGGGAACAACAAGGACTCACTACTGTCTCACTACTGTGGATCGTATCCACAGTGGGTTCATTCAGACAGTCAGTCCTGTTCCTTTGGGACTTACTGTCTCTGCTTTGTTTGTCCTACTTAACTGTCTTGGTGATCTCAGGGGAGATCACCATCTGAATTTCCTGTCACATGGCTGGGCACAACCCAGCTGTTTCCTTGAAATGTCAAGATCCTCGGGACCGGCTAGAAGCTGGAAGGCAATGGCTGGCCCTCTTTAGACAAACTAACTCAAATCTGCAGCTCAGCCTAGTTGTCTCATTCCCAGCTATACAGAGGCTAAGTCTTAAAAGGATTCAAGATGGTGACCCTTATAGCACTGGAGGAAGGGGTGGGCATGAGGCACAGACTTTCACACTCATCCCAAACCTCAACAGAGATGATGGATTCAGCTGGTCATGTTCAAGTCAAAGAATCATCTGGGTTTTAAGCCTGCCAGCCACCTATGCCTAAAGGAGGGCCTCCCTCAAACACCTGACAAGCCACCTCACATCTCTCTCCAGTGGAAAAACCCTATCTCTCCCCCTCCATAATACCTTCTTCCCTCAGGTGAGAGTGGCTTGACGGTCTCGGTCTCGGGACCCACCTTCTCGGTCTGGCAGAGACTTGTTAGGTGTTTATCTGGGTGCAAACGAGCGGCTGGAAGTTATCTGAGCTCTCTAGAACGTGCCAGGTAGACAAGAGTGCTGTCATCCTTTCCAGCCCTGCAGCTGTCCCCACCACACCCCCAAGCCCAGAGAACAGCCAGGAACAGAACCAGAGAATAGGTGGTGCAAGCTCAAAGCCCAAGGAGCCTGCAACTTGGACGTGACACCTGAGTGCCCATGGAGCAGACCTACCCTGATAAAGGTCCCTGGTAGAACAGGGGCACCCCCAAAATAAGCTCAGTCTCAGCTTTACAGGTCCCCCCAAAATGAATTCATTATACCATTGCATGGGCCTCTTCTCGGAGAAGCCAGTCAGCCTGCACTGAGCTGTCATTCCTTCAGGTCCTGTGTGCCCCAGGACTTGACTGTAACTGAGTGCTCACGTTCCCCAACCCCTGCCCCGAGCTCTCTGCCCTTGGAGTTCAGAAATCTGATTGCCATGTGTGCAGTTGGAAATGGGGACCCAGGACCAGGTGCATGTTCCACTGCTTGGGCACATTCCAGCCCAAGACTTCCTTTACGTGGTTCTAAATGAGGTGCAGGAAACCTTATGATTATGTTATGATTAAATCAAATTTGCTTTTGTCTGGAATGACGTTGAGAGTGGAACCAGTTGGTTGTGCCCTGTACTGAACAGAAAGGTCTGAATTGTTTTAATTAATTTTTAAAAGGGAAAAGCAATGGATCACGTAAGCCTTATAAACACATTGCTCACAGCTGACATCTCAGGAAGACCCAGCCCATGACAGCCGCCCCTGTCTGAAGAATACACAGACCCCCTGGGGGGGGAGGACCTCTGGCTTGGGACAGGGATGGGGGCGGCTGCATTCCAGCTGTGAGCCTTCTGTGTCTTCCTCAGACTCAGCACAACTTTGGGTAGCCCTGGAAATGCCAGAGTCTGGAAATACTAGCTGCCTCATATTTACACACTTTACCATACAAGGGAATTACTCTACACTGACGTCAGACAAATTCCTAGGGAGCTGCGTAGTCCCAGACACGTCATTACCATATAAACTCCTGACAACTGGAAACAGTAGTCGAGGTTCCTGCCGGGCTGCTACCTCTCGTCTATCAGCTCTTACTGGGGTGTCCGCACTCTGGCTTCTTTTCCAGGATTTTTCTTTTTTCTTTCTTTCTTGAAAACATGACTCCAAAACAGAGACACATATCAGGTGAGATGAAAGTGCCTCTGGGAAGTGACTTTGGGGACTGACTCCCTGTACCTTCAGCCACCCAGCAGGCTGAAAACCTAGAGGTCAGGCATTCTGTGATCAATGCTAAAGCCATTGAAGCCTATCTGCTTTTAAATATCAGTCACCACAGAGTGTCTTGTAAAACTAATGTCTTCAGGAATGACTCCATTTCCTCGGGTAGCCTGGAATGAGGGAATGTGAAGGAGGAAAGGAAAACAGCGGGTTGGAGGAGCAGTCAGCCTGTGTTTCAGCAGCATCTCCTCCAGTGTAGATACCCCCTATACTGCTGGGCCTCTTCATCTGTGGAAATAGCCAGCACCAGCCCCTTCCTCATGACAGAATCCAAGACAACACAGGTGAAGGATTTAGCTCCTGCCGGTCTGTGGCAAGCACAGACACTTGTGCACTATATAGCCTTAAAGGACCAACACAAGCCATCAGTTCGGTGCCTCTAAGAACTGCCAATGTGCCTTCGTAATGCCAAACAGCCGGGTGGGTTGGAGTGGGGGCTTTTTGTCACTAGCATCTCTTTGGACTTAATGCATGCCCCCTTCAGGCTTCTAACAAGCCAGGCTTTGCCCAGTGAGCTCTTCTTGCATAAATTAACCTTAGGAGCCCGCTAGAAAGTTTTCCCAATTTGCTTTCTCTACCAGGTGTGAACAGAACTCCACCCACAGTAGATAAGTACTACTAGTGAACAGTACTGTCATGGAAAAACTAGTTGGTAATTATTTATGACTACACATACTCCATTCACTCAGTGTTTTTTATTGTTGACTGTTCTTTTGTGGAAATAGAGCCCCAATATGTAGCCCAGGTTAGCCTTCAACTTGTGATCCTCCTACCATTATCTCCCAAGTGCTAGGGTTACAGACACACGTCACCACAGCCAGCTCCAATCACCCAATGTTGACTTACCATCAATCAAGCGCAAACATTACCCTCTTAGCCTGTAACTCTGACCCAGTAAAGACAGACTGGTTCTAGAGTCTAACTGTGAATTACAAAATAGAACACCTGGACAAGAAGACTGGTGCTAGGGCAGGCCAGAGGCAAATTTTCCACACTTTCTTAGCAAGTGGTCACAGAGCTGGAGACCCTGCCCTTCAGAGTCTCTCCCCATCCTACCTAAGCCTTGGAGACAGCTCTCTCCCCCACCTCCTCAGGCCAACACCACACCCTCTGCAGGATAAACTTCCCTGTCTGACTGTCCCGCCCCGGATATCCTCACCATAGCAAAGGGTCTCCATGCAGTCCCAAGCTGGCTTCTCCCAGGGAGTGATAAACGCTGTTGCTGCCTAGGCAGGGCTCAGGCAGGCCTCTAAGTGCCTCTAAGAGCCCAACAGTGGCTGGGCCTCCTAAGCAGAGGCCTTGCTTGGGAGAGGAGCAGAAGGCTTAGAGGAAGCTTTATCATCAAGTCCTGAAGGAAATCCCCAGCCTAGCTCTGAGGCTGCTATCAGCTCCAGTCAACTGAGCTTCTGCAGGAGGAAAGCAGGATGTCAGGACTGGTGTGGGGGGCGGGGGGGGTGTGTGCTCTGAGTACTGACCCAGAAGGAAACTGAGCTGTCACTTGTGCAGTGTCATCTGTGTATTGTCAAATCCAAGTCGAAACACAGTATTGCCTTTCAGTCACCTTGCCACCAAGACCCCAGAGCACTTCTCAAGACAAATGTTTCCACCGAAGTGGACCTGGAGCATGCAGGGTGATGGAATCGCAGTGCAGTGCCCTCTCAGCGTGGGGAGGGCCTGTCCATTCATTCACCCCAGGAAGCACGAAGTGAGTGGGGTGGTCCTGACTTCAAGTAACTGCTCACAGTCTAGACCTCTGCCCTGATGGACCACAACAGTACAGGACCAGAAACATGCAGAATATACCCAGACCTGTGCCACTTCCGTGAAAACACCTGCCTGATAACAGTTCGCTGGGTGACACTGCAACCTGCCTGCTCTCAGGCCCTTTCGGCTCCCTGGCTTTCAAGAAACATTCCCTGTTGGCTCTTTGAGATCTCAGTACCCAGTCCTCACCTAGCACCACGACTTTGGTGGGGAGGTGCAATGAATCCGCTTCCATCTGGTTCTTTCAGGAAAAAGAAGACCCAGACCCGCGTTTTATGTGGCCACCAAGCCAGATGCTCGCCCCTCCCACTCGGGCACTTTTTCCCAAGAAAAGAGAGTGAGGGAAGAGGTGGCACGGATGTCCTCGTCCCTCAGCCTTACAATGAGTGTCAGTAGCCCACAGAATCGCCAATTGTTCTGCAGGACCTGCAGGCAGCGTGGGGTAGCCGGGTCAGCCTGGGTCTAGGGCCTGCGAAGCAGCTGCCCTGTAAGCCCCAGGATAGGGAGGGACCCAACGTTTTCAGGAAAGGGAAGCACTGCCCAGTTAAACTCTGGCCACTTCTCACCACCTCCCTCCTGGGATCACCTTTCCTACAAACTTTTTTTGCAAGCGACAGGACGGGGGGGGGGGGGGGGGGGGGGGCCCATAGGAGCCGGGGGGGGGCCGGGGGGGGGGGGGGGGGGGGGGGGGGGGGGGAACCAATAGACGCAGGGTGCGTCCCGGGCGCTCGGGCAGCTGCGGGGACCCGAGGCCCCGAGGCCACGCAGAGGCTCACTCACCTGGCAGCTGCTGGTAGGCGCTCGGGAGACAGCACTCCGGGAAGCGGGAAGCGGCGGCTGGGTACGCCCGACTGCGCGCCCCCCGTTTTGTGTTCCCCGTCCGGAAGGCGTTTCCCTCGGCACGCCAACCAGTAGGCTTTGCACACTGCACCACAACAGGCTGATGTCACAGCCCAAAGCCCCGAAAGCTGTCCCCTCCCCCAGGGCCCGAAGCCCGGGCGTGGCCGGAGACCTAACTTTGGTTTCTCCGTGCACCCTGCGGTAGACTCAAGGCTTTACATGGGGGTGGAGGGCGGGGTTAAGGGGTTCCTGGTCTGCCACGTGGGAAAGCCGAGACAGTGAGATCAGACTAGAGAAAAACTTGAGCCCCCTAGGGAAGAGAGCGAGGGTCCTTAAACATCTGTCCTGATGGCAGATGTTAAAGGGACTGTCTTGCATGCCAGAGTAAGAGAAGCAAGGGTGGTTTTACTCCTTCTGGTGACTGACTTTTGCCAGACAGCTGGCTTGAGGCTCATCTGTAAAAGGGGACTGATGTGATCCTATAAGACCCGGGAGCCTTTAGCCCTGCTGCTCTCCTCCAGCGACTCTTGTCCCCTCAGCCTTCCCCATCTCCCTGCTACCTACACGAGGTTATCCTACCAGCTTTTAAGAGGACCTTTCTCTGGGCTCCTAACCTACAGTATGACAGACACAGGCTCAGGCCACGGAAAGCTGCCTCTTTGGTGGTGACCAATAGGTGTTACCCAGGCCCAACTGCCCACTCCGCTGAGCTGCCTGCCCAGAAAACCAGCCCGGGAGGTGAACTGCTGCTCCTGGGCCCAGTGTGTGGGCCGGAAGCAGAGCAAGACTTAGAAGGAAAGTCTATTTTCACTAGGGTACAGATAGCTCCGAGCAAGAAGCTTGGGACCTAACTAAATGAAGAATCTACAAGAAAAACTATGTTCCCAATAATAGGGGTGGGGTGCGAAAGAGGGAATTAGAGCCTCAAGGGAGACCCTCTTCTATTCTGTAGGATAATTATTATTAATATTTGTTTGTTTTGTTTGGCATAGAGTCTCACTGTGTAGCACTGGCTAGCTTGAAACTCACTGTGTAGGCCAAGATGGCCTTGAACTCATTAGAGATTCCTCTGACTCTGTTCCCAAGTGCTAGGATTAAAGGCTCAGTTATCGTCATCATTATCGTATTATTCACTTTATTTCTAAGACTGAAGGGACTTGAGGGCTGCTGTTGTCATTGCAGGTTGAATTACATTATTCCCACCAAGTGCAGACTGTGTTGGGAAATAAGCCACACTCAGATTTCAGTATGACTCCACATGCTGTGTGGGTATGCAGGTGTGGGCCTTTCTGCCGCCTCCTGCCCTCTACAGTATTCGCAGAGAGGGACTGCCTGTTGTGGTAGCTGCGGGTAGTCACATTCGTTAGGTAGTTGCCTCCTGCCATCCCAAGAGTATCCATAGTTACTGCTTGTCATGTCTTTGACTGTGCTAGGGCTCAGAGCCTCGTGGGCTACATAAGCTTAAGACAGGCCCCAGCTACAGAGTTAATGAAAGGCCTGGGTAACTTAGTAAGGCCTTGACTCAAAGTAAAAGCAGGCCAGAGAGATGGCTCAACAAGGAAAGGAGCTGGCTGCCCAAAACCCACAGTAGAAGAAGCAAACCAACTCCCAAAAGCTGTCCTCTGACCTCTACTCACACATCATGGCTCACAGATACCTACCTACTCCCAACCCCAAACACTACACATAAACACACATACACACACCGGAATAAATAAAATTAAAATTCAAAATAAAGAGTAAAAAGAAGAGATGTGGGTGTAACTCAGTGGTAGGATGCATGCCTGCTAGGCTCTGGGTTCATTCCCCAGTGTTAGAAAGAAATAGAGACAGGTCAGGAGCCGGGAAGCTGAATTACTCTTTTCCAGGAACAAAGTTAAGCATCTCATTATTCAGAAAATGAGACATATATCTGGGCTTTTCTTGCTTTCTCCCATGAGAAACAACTACCCACTTTGCCAGAGCCATCATATACAAGAGACCTATTGTGCTGCTTAGTGTTTGTTGTCAACATAACACAACCCAGAGTCACTTGGGGTGAGGGCACCCTGACTGAAGAATCCCCTCAATCAGACTGGCCTGTGAGCATGTCAGTGGAGAGATTTCTTCATTGCTAATTTTATTGGTTTATTAGGAAGGTCTAGTCCACTAAGAACAGTCGGGCTGTATTAAAGACAGTAGCTAAACCAGGCATGGTGGTGCACGCCTTTTAGGCCCAGCACTCAGGAAGCAGAGGCAGGCAGCTCTCTGAGTTTGAAGCCAGCCTGGTCTACAGAGTGAGTTCCAGGACAGCCAAGGCTACACAGAGAAATCCTTTCTCAAAAAAACTAAATAAATAAATTAATAATCACAACAAAACTAGCTGAGTACAAGCCAATATCAAGTAGCATTTTTCCATGTTTTTTTGCTCAAGTTCCTGCCCTGACTTCCCTCTGTGATAGAATGTGTCCTGGAAATGTAAGCTGAATAAACCTTTTCCTCCTCAGGCTGCTTTTGATCATGATGTTTATCATAACAACAATAACAATAAAAACCCAAACTAGGACACTCTCCAAAGCTGGGATGTCAACCAGCATTTCTTGCAGAAGATTTTGCCATCCCTATCTGACATACTTGAGACTAAGAGGAAAGACCGGGAGAGTCCTTAGTCTTGCTTAGACTGAACAGGTGTGTTAAATTAAAGAACTATCGTGAGTGTTAGAGACGATGGGCTCACTGCCCAGAAATGTCACTCCTATGGCTGGGGTTCCCCTGAAGCATCAGTACTCAATATCCGGGAGAGACGAGCCTTGGACTTTTGCCCAAGACTACAGAAGAACAGATGCCTGCATTTCCTTCTTTGGTCTGGGTTTGTCCTCTGTGGCTCTGCTGATAGATCTCCCTGTGGGGACATACCAATCTGCTCTGTGAAATGTTCTTAGAATGAGCCAGGGGAAAGAAAGCAGAAACCGCCACCGTACTTGTATTTCTCTCAGTGAGTCTTTTTTGTTTGTTTTTGTTTTGTTTTCTTAGATAGGGTTTCTCTGTGTGACAGCCCTGGCTGTCTTGGAATGAACTCTGTAGACTAGGCTGGCCTCAGACTCATAGAGATCTGCCTCCCAAATGCTGGGATTGAAGGCACTCAATCACGCCCGGCTCTCAGGTGGTCTTCAAGCACCATGTTGATAGACTGATGTTCAGTGAGTCATCCAGACTCACAGGCTCACAGGTATGGTCACCATGCTTATCCATGAGAAGGCTGTGTCAGCATACATGGCCTAGGAACTATGTAGGCAGAGTTGGATGGAGGTAAGGGAAGTCAAACAGGCTCTTCCTCTTCTCCTGTTTGTTTTTGTTTTTTTAGAACCTCACATATTTGGTTATATTGACTTCCTTGCATACTGCCAATGATGTGGGCTTGATCTTAGAGAGATCATTAGCAGACAAGAAACACCTTGAGAATGAGTTGAGTCAAAGATCCTGTTGGTTTCCAAGCCCTGCAAACAAGCGTGAGCTTCCTGTTGAAATCAGACAGTCCAGAAAACATCGTTAATACTTGAAGTGGCACCTATGCCTAAACTTCCTTAGGGCAGAGGTACTGGTCCTTGGAGATACTGGCCCTATATAACTGTGCCCAGACTGGCTCCATGCAGGCAGCAGTCCCTACACCTACCGATGATGTGCTCAGAGATCATAGCCAGGACGGTCTCTGCTGGGCACTGCAGAAGAGGTGTGCAACACAGTGAGGACAGGAAAGGAGGATGAACTCAGTTTCGCTGGATCTGAAGTGTCTGGGGATGTCTACTGGACAGTTGTACACAGAACCGAAGGAGATCTTGGGGTGAAGGTAGAGATTTGGGGTTGTTGGCCTAGAGAAAGTTTGCGATCAGGCCCAGAACCCCAAAGGACACTGCCATTTGAGAGTGGCTGAGAGACCACAAAGGAAACTGCGATGGAATAATCAAAGACGTAAGGATAGCACTCATGACGTGGAGGTCAAGGGAAGGATGGGGGGGACATGTATTAGGTCCTCATCTTCATGATGTATTAGAAGAGACCCAGGAAGCATGAAGATATCAGGAGAAGAAAATGCATGGAAAGACCAGGAAAGGTAAGGTCTGGCCTGGCATGGTTGCACATGTTCTTATTCCAGCAGTCAGGAGGCAGACAGGCAGATCTCTGTGAGCTCAAAGCTAACCTGGTCTACACAGCCTGTTTCAGCCAGAAAAGGTAAGATCACCAGGACATAACGTCGCTTAAACAAGGGTATTCATCCCTCACTACTAAGCCATTTAAGATTTCTTCACCATTCCCAGAGACTCCCAAACATGTGACTCACCTAGTTTGATTCTGTAGCGCTGACTACATAAATCTGGGGGTGGGGCACAATGCTTCTGGGGGCAAAACCCTGCTGCTGGGTTTGTATCCTGCTGGACATGCAGCACTTTTCATGCTTCTCGGGGAACAGCTGAAGCCCCTGAGAACACTCAGACCAACTGTGCTTTCAAACATCCAACTTTAGGGTTGAAGCTGTAGCTCAGCTGGGAGCCTTCCTGCTTAAACACAGGAAGCCCTGAGTTCAATCCCAAGCATTGCATAAAACCAGGCATGCTGGCACATGCCTAAAATCCAAGCATTCGGGCGGTAGAAGCAGGAGTGTTTGTTATATCTCTGAGGCAGCTTAAAGAGACAGGAGGTGGAAAAGAGACCAGTTTGGCCTTGGCAAATGGGACTGTTTATTTCAAACAGCGAGGGGCAGACACAGTGGGAAAGGTCTGTCTGCCAAAAAGGGAGGGGTCGCCTGGGGTTCATATAGGGTGTTTGGAGAATGGGAAGTTAGTGCAGCTTCAGAGAGCTATGTGCCAGCCCCTAGGCTCTCCCTCATGGGGCTGTTTGTCCAGACAAGGTCATTTTATCTCTACAAAGTGCCTTGCTCTGGCTACCAGGGTGTGGGTGATAGTGAGTGACTGAGTTAGGCAATGGCAGTGAGGGAGAAAGGCTGGAGTTTCAACACAGGGTCTTGGTCAGGGTCTGGCAGAGTTTGTTCAAAGTGTACTCTGACAAGGCTGTCCTTGGCTATATATCGAGGACAAGGTCACCTGTTGAGAGCCTCTCTCAACAA